AAGCACCTGAAGGCAGGACAAGAAGCAATGGATGGAAATTAACCAAAGAGAGAAGCAACCTAGAACTAAGGAGAAATTTCCTGACATGAGAACAATTAATCAGTGGAACAACCTGCCTCCAGAAGCTGTGAATGCTCCAACACTGGAGGTTTTTAAGAAGAGACTGGACAGCCATTTGTCTGAAATGGTATAGGGTTTCCTGCCTGAGCAGGGGGTTGGACTAGAAGACCTCCAAGGTCCCTGCCAACTGATGATGATGATGATGATGATGTGGATATTAGCAGGGTGATGGCACAAGGGAAAAACTGTCTTTGTGCCTAGTAGTTTTGGCATGCAATGCTCTATAGAGGTGTCCTGGGGGTAAAGTTGAAACAGTTTATGTCCAGAATATGAAGGGTTGGTAGATACTTTCTCAGCACTCTTTCTGACCCGTGCAATATACAGGTCCTCCATGGAAGGCAGGCTGGTTGCAACTGCTTTTTCTGCAGTCCTATCTATCTGTTAAAGTCTGTACCTGTCCTGTTTGGTTGCTGGACCAAACCAGACAGTTATAGAAGTACAGATGACAGACTCAATAATCTCAATACCCAATAATGGTAATCGATATTTTCCACTCTTACTAAAAGCAGCTGTTCATTTTAATCCACCTCACCTTTTCCTCATTGGTGCTGCCGGATTTGTAGGTCTTCCAGTTCTTGCCATCTCTGCTGAACTGAACCTGGTAGGATTTGACGTAGTAATTGTATCTTTGGGAAGACCCCTTGGTGACAATTCCTAGAAGAGATATGGTTAAAATTTGTATCTAAATTTATAGGCACAAGTCAAGTATGTTTATGATGGAACTACATTCAATTGTCCAGCTATGACCTCTATCCAAGAAGGAGGAAGTAAAAATGTTACAACAGAATGGTGGTTGTCCAAGATATTGTGCAGATACCAGGTAGGGGGAAAGGTTGTTCTAGAGACATCATGTTTCAAACAAGAATGTGCATCCAAACCTGTGCTGATTAGACTCAGAACTAGGACAAGAAGCAACGGATGGAAACTAATCAAGGAGAGAAGCAACCTAGAACTAAGGAGAAATTTCCTGACAGTGAGAACAATTAACCAGTGGAACAACCTGCCTCCAGAAGTGGTGCATGCTCCAACATTGGAAGTTTTTAAGAAGAGACTGGACAGCCATTTGTCCAAAATGGTTTAGGATTTCCTGCCTGAGCAGAGGGTTGGACTAGATGACCTCTAAGGTACCTTCCAACTCTATTATTGTTATTGTTATAACTAGAATAGATTGGCTAGTTGCTAATAGTTCTGTTTTTTCTAAGGAGACAAGCAATGGCTAAAACAAATCAGTAGTGTTTTTCTAACTTTTTATTGGAACCCTTCTAACTTTTCTCCAGGCTCTCTGAACCCTTCAGGATCTATTTCTTCAAGCAAACCAGAAATCCAGAGATGCTGGATGGATCGCTGACCTTAATTTTAATCTTTGAATGTTATGTGATGAAAAAAGGATGCTACAAGACTCCCTTGGCTGTTGCTCCTAATGTCTTTCCTTTACGTTAAATAGCAGTAGAGAAGCCAAGGAAGTTGCAGACAGCTGGAGAGGCAAGACTGCAGTGAAAACAAGAGTATTCACCCCAAATTTGGCTTTCTTGCAATAACAATTAGTACCAAAGCCAACCCCTCATCCATAAGAATTTCTCTAACATTTTTTTCTCCTTTAGGAAAAAAAAAACAAAAGCAGTTTCTTTTCTATTTAACTAAGGACTGTGGTCAGACGGGGGAAAAAAACCAGAAGACATGTCCAGCAGAGCTTCAGGTTGGTCAGCTGGAATGTCCAAGGCTGCCTCCTTGCTCCAACCAGCCCCCATTGAGAGAGATGTTTGATCAGTTTCCTTCTCCCTTCTTGCATTCCACCCAGCCTCCAGTCCTTCAGTCTTACAAGGCCTCCATTTTCTTCATCAAACAAGCTCCATTATAGGATGGCCACACAGAAACCGCATGTGCACTCAGGCATCTCAAAACAAAGGGTGGATTTGCCAGAATATATTAGGCTTGTTCAGTCCACCCATCTTTCATATGGAACAGGACCAGGTAGGTGGAAAGGGAGGAGGGCCGGGAAAAGCAAGGAAGAGAGAATGAAAGGGTGGAGGCCACAAATGGACGAAAAAGGAGGCAGTCAGATCCGACACTGAGTCCCAGAATATGATTTGATTTAAATCAGGGATGTCCAACCTTGGCAACTTTAAGACTTGTGGACTTCAACTCCCAGAATTCCCCAGCCAGCAATTCTGGGAGTTGAAATCCACAAATCTTAAAGCTGCCAAGGTTGGATACCCCTGTTTTTTAGACAAAGGAAAATGATGAGGATACTTACTGACCTGTGATGTTCCTCTTTCCACCCAAATCTATTTCCAGCCATTCATTTGCAGAGCTGTGATCTGCTGCCCAAGACGAACCATCAGCAGCAAAAGCTGCTCGCACAGCGGCCCAAGCATGATGGTCTCCCAGCATGTTCTGCTCATGCCAGCAGGATGAAGCATTGAAGCTGGCAACTTCCAAAGCCCTGGCACAGTCTGGGGAAACAAGGACACGGTGAAGTGAAGTTCTTCAATCAGCCTCACAGTTACCCTGCCCAGCTCAGCACGATTTCTGTATTTCCAGAACTCTGTTTTTTTTTTTTAAAAAAAAATACTTATTCAGTATTGCATTTTTATCCTATCTTTTCTTTGAATGTTCAGGAAAGATTTGAAAAGGTGGTGGGTTGGGCTGAGAGCAATTGGCTGCAATCATGAATTACATGGTTGAGTGGGGAAGTGAAGTCTATCGTTCTGACCCTATCACTTGACTTTTTCATATTACTTTGTTCCTAATGTTGACTTTAAGTGCTCTTCTGGATCTTTTAGCTATAAACCAGCCTTCCTCCTCAGGATTTCTCCAAAAATGTTGCATTATAATTTCCTGTTATGCTGTCTGGAGAGACAAGAGGTTTAGTTCAAGACAGCTGAAATGTTCTAGCTTGGGAAGGGACCCCTAAATAGAATGGAATTAACATCCTTTAAATATAGCTGATATTTTTTATCCAAGATTCAATAGATTTCTGCTCCATTGCCATCCATCAAGAGGCCCTTTTTAATAGAGCACTCCTATTGTAGAAATTCTCCCTGGTTGCTTTTTTTTTTTTCCAGAGGAAACCCAATTGCTGATCTCAACAGCACTTTGCTGCTTTAATAGCATCAGTTTATTGTAAATTATTATTTTGTCATTTTGATTTTAGAAATGGGAGGCAGACGTTTTTCCAAGGAAGCGTACAAAGAAATGGATAACATCGAAGGACTTACCTTTGTGAAAAATAAGGCGCTTTTCTGATAATGACCCCCTGTTCAAAATGAAACATACATAAATGAATACAGAATAACAGAGTTGGAACCTTGGAGGTTTTCCAGTCTAACCTTCTGCTTGAGCAGGGGACTCCATACCAGGGGTGTCCAACCTTGGCAACTTTAAGACCTGTGGACGTCAACTCCCAGAGTTCCTCAGCCAGCCATGCCAAGTCCAAAAGTCTTAAAGTTGCCAAGGTGGGACACCTCTGTTCTATGCCATTCTGGACAAATGGTTGTCCAACCTCTTCCTGAAAACTTCCAATGATGGAACACTTACAACATTTGGAGGCAAGTCATTCCACTAATTAATTGTTCTCACTATCAGGAAATTTCTCCTTAGTTCTAGATTGGATCTTTGATGAACTTCTACCCATTGCTTCTTGTCCTATTCTCAGGTGCTTTGGAGAATAAATTGACTCCCTCTTTGTGAGAGGCCTTCAAGTACTGGAAGATTTTCATCAAACGGTTTAGCCTCCAGACCCCTTACCACATTTGTTGCTCTTCTCTGCACTATTTCTAGGGTCTCAGGATACTTAGAGTGGCTCTTTTTACCATCTCCATCAATTAAGCCCAAAATCATTACTAACTTGGAAAACAACTTTCAATCTGAGAACAGTAAAAACAAAAGCCTTTTTTCTGATGAGTAGAAACCATCAGAGAAGAGGCAAGGCAGATGTTGGCACAGCATGAGAACTGGTTCTGCTGGATTTTATTTTTATTTATTTATTTTAACTCATGAAAAATAACTACTGTACATTTTGTAAGGCCAGCACTGTAATGAACAATCAGTCTCAGAGGATTGTGTCTTTCTACAAATTGCCAATTAGTATCTTATATCTTGCTTATTTTACAAAAAATGATAAATATTTTGTGCATTAATGTTGGTAGTACTGATATTTCCATAATATAATAGTATTTAGAAGGCTATAGGATTTTTATTTTTATGAAAAATGACGGAAGATAGCAAAATAAAAATTATTTTAATTTATCTGAGACCAAACTGCAAAGTATCAACTGATCATCTAAAGCAGGGGTCTTCAAACTTGGTCCTTTTATGACTTGTGGACTTCAACTCCCAGAATTCCTCAGCCAGGCATGCTGGCTGAGGAATTCTGGGAGTTGAAGTCCACAAGTCATAAAAGGACCAAGTTTGAAGACCCCTGATCTAAAGGAACCAATTGTTCCATGGTCATTGTAGGCTATTTTACAGTTCTGTTGGATGCTCACCTTTTTGAATGCAGTCCGTTGGCAACACTAGATTTGTAAAGAGTGACTCCTTTCTCTTGCGATACCACAATTGGTCCTCCCAGCTCGTCCAAGATTACACCAGCATGGACAGCTGCTTTGCAAAGAACAGATGTCTGGAGGGCAATAAATAAAAGGGGACGATTGTGACAAATCTCCAAGCAACAGAAATCAAGTGGAAAGCGTACCATGAGAACAATTCTGCTTTTCATTATAGTTTCTGAGGCTCAGTTCATTCACATTTGTGAAAGAGCTGAAGGGTTGATCAGAGCAACCAATTCTGCCTATGGAATGGCTTGGACAGATTCCAAACTGCCGCCCAAGAGAAACATGTGCATAAAAATAATAATATTAATCATTAAATAGATTTTGTGTGACATTATTTAATTTAATTTAATTTAATTTAATACATTGACTTATATGCCGCCCTTCTCCCCACGGGACTCAGGGCGGCTCACAGCATATTAAAACAACATAGCACATTTCCCCAATAAAAGCCAATTAAAACCAAATATTTGTAGCTGTGTCTCTTATTAAAAATCATTAAAAATTATCCCTATTTAAAATTCACCCTAGGTC